CACAATTACTGTTGTTGTTTACACAATCCAAAAAAATTCCATTATAAATCGCAATCTGGGTCAGGTGGACATCATTTGAAAGCTTATTCTACTGGCAACATGGCTGGCTAAATTATAAAATACAATCGTACAGTGTTAGGCTTTCAAAAGGCACTTCAAACAAACAAATTGTAATTTCGGTGTGCATAGAATGGAGTCATGAGTCCATTCAAGTGCGTTTTCTGCGGCAATTTTTCTTCACATTATGACAAACATAGGCTCATTCTGTTAAGGACAACACAGGGTATAACGCATGTCATCCTTGTAACTGTGGATCAAACATAGTTTTCGAATATGGAAATGTAAAGTGCACATTTGGAGTCATGTGTGTGATTTGCTTGTATGACATCAAAGCGGTAATTATTATAATCCTCAACATCTTATCTTTCAGAACACATCGACTCCTCTCGATTTACAGCATTTCCCTCACTCTGACAACAACAAATGTGCAAAAGTAGCTGGGAGGGATGGGGGCATCTACCTGTCGCACGCTGGGCTCAAGTTTACAAGGCTGTCAGTCAAAACCGATACAGCGATGTGAAGCGGAGAACCTGAGCTCTGACATCATGTATAGCATATTACTGTAAAGCCACTGCATTCCAATTTAGGTGCTTATCAATGACAAAATCAGTAATTTTCAACCTGTATACGGGAAGACGGGCTGTGACTGGAAAGGCCTACGAATGAACACGAGATGTCCTTGCTATTAAGAAACACACTATACATTCATACAAGACGCTCTTGACATTTAACTTAACCTTCTTACGAAAGCTGCTAGCTCCATGAGTTCAATATATTTCAGCACTTTGTAGCCTGTGCTTTCCGTATATGAAAGGAAAGGGTTTCAAGGGAACACTGCCGCTACCTCGCTTTCCAACTAAGGTGGTTGAACTGAGGAGAAAACTGAGGTGAAGAGGAAATTCAGCAACTTTTGGAGGGCAGTGGAAGTTAAATGAAGCGTATATAAAGACGCTTCCTTATTGATAAAACCAGCGCGTTTCTGGACATGAACACATTTTCCTCTCATAGTGTAAGAGGCACTGTGTTTATCCTGCACATCAGGTACATGATCAAATATGTAGGTAAATAACATGCTGTGCTGGCCAGAGCCAGGAGAACAGAGATGGATATTTGCATTGTGTTCGAGTGTTGTTGCCCATAAGGGTTTGTGTGCCCAGAGCTCTTACTGCTGCGACAGCAAAGGTTACCAGAGACAATGTGAGCAAACAGTAAACCTCTAAAACTCTAAGCCATTGTGGAGGGGGGGGGGGGGGGGGGGGGGGCTACTAACCTGTCAAATGTAACTAAATGTAATTGAAAATGTAATCTACAGTGCATTCGGAAAGTATTCAGACCCCTTGACTTTTTCCATATTTTGTTACATTACAGCCTTATTCTAAAATTGATTAAATATTTATTTTTTCTCATCAATCTACACACAATACCCCAAAGCAAAGACAGGTTTTATAAATGTTTGCAAATGTATTTAAAATAAACGGATATATCACATTTACATAAGAATTCAGACCCTTTACTCAGTATTTTGTTGAAGCACCTTTGGCAGGGAATACAGCCTTGAGTCTTCTTGGATATGACGCTACAAGCTTGGCACACCAGTATTTGGGGAGTTTCTCTCATTCTTCTCTGCAGATCCTCTCAAGCTCTGTCTGGATGGATGGGGAGCGTCACTGCACTGCTATTTTCAGGTCTCTCCAGATATGTTCGATCGAGTTCAAGTCCGGGCTCTGGCTGGGCCACTCAAGGACATTCAGAGACCTGTGCCGAAGCCACTCCTGCGTTGTCTTGGCTGTGTGCTTAGGGTCATTGACCTGTTGGAAGGTGAACCTTCGTCCCAGTCTGAGGTCCTGAGAGCTCTGGAGCAGGTTTTCATCAAGGATCTCTCTGTACTTTGCCCCTTTCATCTTTGCCTCATCCCGACTAGTCTCCCAGTCCCTGCCGCTGAAAAACATCCCCACAGCAAGATCCTGCCACCACCATGCTTCACGGTAGGGATGGTGCCAGGTTTCCTCCAGACGTGACGTTTGGCATTCAGGCCAAAGACTTCAATCTTGGTTTCATCAGACCAGAGAACTTGTTTCTCATGGTCTGAGAGTCTGTAGGTGCCTTTTGGCAAACTCCAAACGGGCTGTCATGTGCCTTTTACTGAGGAGTGGCTTCCGTCTGGCCACTTTACCATAAAGGCCTGATTGCTGGAGTGCTGCAGAGATGGTTGTCCTTCTGGAAGGTTCTCCCATCTCCACAGAGGAACTCTAGAGCTCTGTCAGAGTGACCATCGGGTTCTTGGTCACCTCCCTGACCAAGGCCCTTCTTCCCCGATTGCTCAGTTTGACCGGGAGGCCAGCACTAGGAAGAGTCTTGGTGGTTCCAAACTTCTTCCATTTAAGAATGATGGAGGCCACTGGGTTTATGGGGACATTCAATGCTGCAGAAATGTTTTGGTACCCTTCCCCAGATCTGTGCCTCGAAACAATCCTGTCTTGGAGCTCTATGGACAATCCCTTCGACCTCATGGCTTGGTTTTTGCTCTGACATGCACTGTCAACTGTGGGACCTTATATAGACAGGTGTGTGCCTTTCCAAATCATGTCCAATCAATTGAATGTACCACAGGTGGACTCCAATCAAGTTGTAGAAACATCTCAAGGATGATCAATGGAAACAGGATGCACCTGAGCTCAATTTCAAGTCTCATAGTAAAGAGTCTGAATACTTATGTAAATAAGGTATTTCTGATTTTAATTTTAATACATTTGCAAACATTTCTAAAAACCTGTTTTCGCTTTGTCTTTATGGGTTATTATGTGTAGATTGCTGAGAAAAAAAAATAAAAAAAAATCCATTTTAGAATAAGACTGTAACGTAACAAAATGTGGAAAAAGTCAAGGGGTTTAAATACTTTCCGAAGGCACTTTACGTATTGAGAGGGCCATAAACAATAACTAGTCATGCTGCACACTCAAAGAAAGGTTAAAATCACACCTTTCTGGTAAAAATAGTTTTATATTGCTGAGATGTAGTCACCTTTGCAGACACAAGCTCAAGTAAACTGTACAATAATGATAAAACTATGAAAACTATGAAATATTTTATATGATGTATTTCCTATTCAACGAAACTGTATGAATAAGGCTTGAAATGACCTTTATGCTTTCTAAATATAGCATAATCAAATTATAAACTACTATAAGATTTCACCTTCATTATAACTGTAAAATTCATAGTTGAATGTTTAGTGAGAGACAATTTGCATATTTTCTAAAGATCTCTCTTGATCAAAACATCTGCCCTCTTCTCTGTGAACGTCTCACAGAGCTATAGGTTGGCTTCCCGAACTCGTTAGGACCTCGCCTTTCATCTCATATTAATCTCCTCCATCTACGACAAACAAAATCTATTAATTATTTTTGGATTAATGGCTATAAATCGATCTCTGAATGTGCTACCATGAATTTATTTGATAAAATATTGAATTTGTCCTTTACTACTATAGCCCATAGAAATGCATTGAATAACACATTTATAAATGGCAAAAAATACATCGTAAGGAATAAGGTTTTGAAGTGTCTGTCCTATATCTAGGAGATATAAGAAAGCTCAGGAAATATTTTGTTTTTTTTGTTCACATATTTAACCCCTTATTTTTGTTGGCACAAAACTACCTCCATACTTTCATTTGTTTGTATGGGTTACTTTCAGATGAGTCCCGTGACACCTGTGGGGGTCGTAGAGCAAAACAGAGAACACCATCATGTTCGTGAGAGTCTCCCCCTTCCGTTTGGACGCTACAGACGTTTTAGTGAGAAGACCGATATTCGGGATGTCTCATGGTCTGACAAACACTGCTGTAGCTCCGCTGACATATGCAGATTTGGTGGATTGAGACGCAGCCCATGCAAAAACCTGATATCTCTAGCTTAAACTGACGGATTTTGATGGGGATTTTTTTACTATGTTACTTAGATTGATGCACGGGTGTGATCGGGTGCATCGATAGACTCTTAATTAAAGCGACTTATAAGGTTGGCATCCATTATGGAGGGGATGGATAGAGGTATTGGTTCTCTCTATTGTTGTGGACTGAAGCCATAATTTTTTTTGTAAAACCAACCCATTGCCATTACAATAACAAATATTATTCACCAACATTGAGGACAATTCATAAGTTAGGCTTCAGCTTCATTAAAATTCTGCTAGTATGAAACAGCGGCGTAAATAAGTTGTGATTATTCATGTATGCCTATTTTTTATTATTTCCCATTCAGCAATGGAGGCTGCTGTAATAGCTCTGAATTTAGACTCAATATTTATGTGACATAATGTGGGCAAACTGAAGACAGAATGCAGCAATGTGATTTGCTTCTATAGTACAAGTCTAACCTACATTCACCTAATAATGTGTCCCAAATTGCACCCTATCCCCTATATAGTGTACTACTTTTGAACAGAGTTCTATGGGCCTTGGTCAAAAGTAGTGCACTCAATAGGGAATAGGGTACCATTTTGGATGCACCCTATGTGTTGAACTACAACATATGGTACAGTAAACATGTTGTCATCACTTGATTCAGACTTACCATAAGAAGTGCCACTTGAAAACATAAAGAAATACTTTCAACCTTCAAAGACAGTCAGGCACCACAGCATGCCCACCAACCCTGTGGTTAATTTGCATATAATAACGTGGCTTGATAACAACAAGCTAAAAATAGCAACGCAATAACAAGAGCAGTAATCAGACGGCAGTATGCAGGTGGCTCCATAGTGTTTAGAGAGTTGTCCTGTCCTCCTCAGACAATACATATTTCCTTGGACTTGGCAGCTGTGACTGTGAGTAACAGCCTGCTGATGCGACAGGTGAATATTCCCGACACCTCCATGTTCAAGCAGGGGTAATTAAGATAGGATTACACACAGAAGCATTAATAAAGAAATGAAAGGTGGTTCAGCAGTAGTGCAGCTGTGAGTGTAAGAATCTTAATGAGTAAGAGACATGCTATAAAAGTGTCTGGATGGTGTTCTCTTCGGGAGCTAGATTACTTGCTGACAAACAGAACGAACCACAACAAACTCCAAGCACGTACTGCATGTACAATGTGATGTGTATCCTAAGTACGGGAAGTTTGTACAGGAAAGTCTACGTATGGAAAATTTGTCTTTCGTTAGCAACTGTCTTGGGTCAGCAAACCGTCAGCCAAATTCAGACATCAATGCAACCTGTGGTGAGTGTGGTCAATCAATGTACACGACGTTGCAGCAGTTTTGCATTAGTCAGTAGTTGTTTAGCCTTGTTGTTGTCCCTGAATGACCCATATTGAACCATGGGTACCTTCAGCGTAGTTCTGGGTTGTATGCAATAGAGCACACCGTAGCAAAACGTTTTTGTCATTGGACAAGTTTAGGTAGTCTCCCTGTTTCAGTCTGTTTTCTTCCATTTGGTGACTAATGAATACGACCCTTTCCCTTGCAGAGACAAATAGCCTACCTGTGGTGAGCGTGACTGTGACAGCCTCAGACGTCACCTCTCCCTGTATGGTGATAAGGCTGACTGTGTACTGTGTGGAGGGCAGGAGACCCTCCACAGAGGACCGGGTCTTGGATCCGTCCAGGGTGACTTTGGAGGTGTCCGTGCCGTCCTCAGAGCTGTAGCTGAGGATGTAGAGGTCTGCGGGTGGGGCCGGGGCGCTCCATGCCACCGTCACCGAGTCCCACGTGACGTCAGACAAGTAGAGCGCAATGACGGGGCGGAAGCCTGAAAGTCAAAGGTCAAAGACACCAGCTGCATGGTCATAAAGGGCTGATTTTGATTTGATTTGATTTAAGGGACATCTGCTGTCAATATGGCTGGTGGTGCTGGGGTTCTGAGGCAGGCAGGCAGGCAAAAGACAGTCAGTCAGTCAATGGACGGCTGATTCAGAGTCAGGCATGGCAGGGGAGAGTTAGTCAGTCAGCGGATGGCTGGTTCAGAAGCAGGTATGGCAGGGGAGAGTCAGTCAGTAAGTGGATGGCTGGTTCAGAGGCAGGCATGGCAGGGGAGAGTTAGTCTGTCAGCAGATGGCTGGTTCAGAGGCAGGCATGGCAGGGGAGAGTCAGTCAGTCAGTGGATGGCTGGTTCAGAGGCAGGCATGGCAGGGGAGAGTCAGTCAGTCAGTTGATGGCTGGTTCAGAGGCAGGCATGGCAGTGGAGAGTTAGTCAATAAGTGGATGGCTGTTTCAGAGGCAGGCATGGCAGGGGAGAGTCGGTCAGTCAGTGGATAGCATGTCTGGTTAATAATGGACACGTCTCTCTGGAGTCTCTCTCCCTCTCAGTGAGACTGGCAGTAAAGTAATGAGCGGGATGTGGATGTGAAGAGCTGAAGATGACAAAAACACACAGAGAAGGAGACCAGTGACAATGTAATGATGATGAACACAAAGGGAAAGAAGGATGTCAATGTTTACACCAGAGATGGGATGAAAACACGTCCGTCAACGAGCCTTGGCTGTTTTAGAAAAATTCACCAATAAAAGACGCTGAAAGACGTGTGTTGTCAAAACAACAAGCAGTGGAAAGATGAAGACTACCAAGACAGCTTGCTGTCTGATGTAGACATGTACATGAGTGTGAAAGAAAGAGGGACAGGAAAGATAAATGGAGTGGGGGAAAAAAAGCTATAGATAATATTTTTTCTCCGTTGGATGGATTAATGGATAAAGGACAGTGTTGTGCTAAGCAAGCACATGTAATGAGCATGTTAGCTTACTGTGAAGGATTTACATTAATTGTTGCATCAAAGATTGACACTACCTAATAGCTTGATCTGTATTCACCTTCCTAACAGTAGTTCCACATTGCATGCAAGGAAAGCCTATTCTCTAGTACAGCAATAATTTATACTTTTCAGCTCATAATTGCCTGTTCGGGTATAGTGATGTGGGAGCTTCACTGAATAAGCTGACCTTTAACCAGTGTATTTGAAAAGAAAGAGTTATTAATAGACTACATATTTTATTAATCTAATAGTACAATATATTGTCAGGTTCCTGGAACTGGTACATGTGCAGTTACAGTACAGGCTGCGTCCTATATGGCATAGTGCACTACTTTTGACCAGAGCCCAATAGAATCCCTAGAAGGGGGAAAATAACCTCTGACCATGGCAGTTTGACCTGTTAACTCATGGGGTAAACGCTGTTTATATGGTTAGACTACTTCTACCTCTGCTATTTATAATAGTACAGTGTGATGTCAGTTACTTGGCCCTGGTACAATACCGTTACAGTACCTGTGAAGGCGTCGATGGTGGCTGCAGTACTCTGCTGCCTGCCTCTCTGGGCAGCTACAGTGATGGTGTATTCTGTGCCTGGCTCCAGGTCATTGAGAGTGGTGGTGGTCACATCCTTGGGGACAGTCACCTCCATGGTCAGCCCAGATGAGGAGGTGTAGGTGACCATGTAGTGGTCGATAGGCCCCTGGACCAGCCCCCACAGCAGGGTGATGGTGCTGTCTGTGGACGCTGTCACAGTCAGGTCCATGGGAACATCCAGACCTGAAACACACAGTAAAGAGTAGTTCAAGTATAATCAACATACAGTGAACATACCAACAAACCTATTTTTATTTAAATACTTTACTGCCATACCAACCGAAGTTGTTAGGAATTTGATTTAGTGCAGCTAATAAAAAAAGGAGACAAAAATACACATACTGTACCTACATTCATTTGCATAGCCTATAAATAAATGTATGTACAGTAAATGGGTATTTTGACTCAGTTTTTTCATGCTTCAATGAAATTCAAACAAACAAAACATGTAGGTGAAATTCTGTTTACTGATACTGGTAGTTGTGATTTTCTGTGTTAGATCACTGATTTGCACAGATGAGCCAGGCGATTAACTCACTTACCAGTTCTGGCGTTCATTGTGGCAGGAGAACTCTGGTTGGTGCCAAGCATGGCCGATATGCCAATGCCATACTCTGTACCTGGCAACAAGTCTGTGGGAAGAGAGGGAGGAAGAGAGAGGGAGAGAGAGAGGGAGGAAGAGAGAGGGAGAGAGAGAGAGGGAGGATGAGAGAGAGAGAGAGGACAGAGGGAGGAAGAGAGAGGGAGAGAGAGAGAGAGGGAGGTAGAGAGAGGGAGAGAGAGAGAGGGAGGAAGAGAGAGGGAGGAAGAGAGAGGGAGAGAGAGAGAGGGAGGAAGAGAGAGGGAGATAGAGAGAGGGAGGAAGAGAGTGTGTATGAGAGTATGACAGATGGACGAGGAGAGAGACACATAGAGAATACCGGGCCAGCTATTGATTTTAATTAGTATGTGAACAGAAAATGATTAAACATTAGCTGGTGATGTGAACGAATCTCTCCATGCAATACCCTGGCGGACAATACAGTATGATGATATTAAAGAGGAAGAATTAGCAAGCAGATGGAGCCTTACAGACCTGCCTATTAAAAACTGCATTAATAATGAAGGGCTTGCCAAATACCCCGTTCATCAATATGTTTTCTTAAGATTTTTGCTAACCTTTTTTCAACCGCATAATTAATCAGAGTAAAAATCAATATTACATCAGTGGTTACAGAAATGGAGAGAGGAAAGCATTGATAGCTGTCATCCCGCAGACAAGGCGTTCCCTTATGCTGATATTCCCTTTACAGAAGACAGACACCTGAAGACAGACATCTGAAAACTCATGTCTGGAAACCTATCAATACTTTGATAAAAATTAAAACAAAATCCACGACATTAGAATCTCGCTCAGTCATTCAACAGACATCCTTATCATATTACACTATAGTAAAGCATGAACACAACTTTCTTTTTTTACCCCCTTTTTTCATAATATCCAATTGGTAGTTACGATCTTGTCTCATCGCTGCAACTCCCCAACAGACTCGGGAGAGGCGAAGGTCGAGAGTCATGCGTCCTCTGAAACATGACCTGCCAATCCGTGCTGCTTCTTAACAAACTGCTCGCTTAACCCGGAAGCCAACCGCACCAATGTATCGGAGGAAACACCGTCCAACTGACAACCAAAGTCAGCTTGCAGGCGCCCAGCCCGCCACAAGGAGTCGCTAGAGCACGATGAGCCAAGGAAATCCCCCCCGGACAAACCCTCCCCTAACTCGGATGACGCTGGGCCAATTGGGGCTCCCGGTCATGACCGGCTGTGACACAGCCTGGGATCAAACCCTAGGCTGTAGTGGCGCCTCAGCATTGCGATGCAGTGCCTTAGACCGCTGAGCCACTCCGGAGGCCCCACATTATATTATGTTGTCCTAAAAACAGAGGTGTAACATAAACTAAAGTTACCCCACCTGTGAGTGTGGTTCTGCTGGTGGGTCCATCATTGCGTGGGACAATGACCTTCTCGTACCGGTCCCCTGCCAGGGTGCTGTAGACCACCTGGTACCCCTCTACTTCCACCTCGCTGTTGTCCCACTCCAGCTCCAGGGTGGTGGAGGCCTTGGACAGCACCCGCAGGTTCTTGGGTGCGTCGATCTCTGAGAGGAACAACAGAACTGACAATGTTGGGGCCACTGAGACCAATCATCAGAAGTGGGACATGGTTTCCACATGCAGTTTCATCAGTAAGTCAGATAGTAAAACAGGATGATATGACCATAGAAATAGAATAGAATTATAGATAATAATATAATTTAAAATAATACATTCAAAGCTACACTTATTTTGATGGCTATGACTGGTATCGTTTCTGCCGTGAATACATCTTTAAAAAGCATGCCAGTAGACCTACATGTTTGGCATTTTTAATGTATTCGTAATGGAAGACATTGAAAATGTATAGAGCTTAACAAATAGTACAGTTTATTTTAAGGATGTACAGGTATGTATACAGTGCTGTATGTGTTCACATGAAATATACTTATTCCATCAAACATGGCATGCACAATGATCTAGAAGCAGCTGGTTGTATGGTCCAGTTGTTTGACGGTCCTCACCGGTACTGAATTCTGTGGAGATGGTTCCACTCTCATTGCCCTTGCGAACACCACTGATGGACACCTCGTAACGCGAACCTGGCCTCAGCACCTGCAGGGAGTACTGGCTGAGGGTGGGCTGCAGACGGAAGGTGGTCTTAGGCCCGCCCCCCCCCACCAGGCCGTAACGCAGTACTATCTGGTCGATCTTAGCCTTGGGATTGGTCCACTCCACGAAGGCCACTGTGTCTGAGACGTCACGCACTATCAGCTGAGTCGGCCCATCAATCACTGTAGGAGATAGCAAAGATAAATATGGAGACAGGGTTCATGATCTAAAGACCCATTTGGGTAGTTAGCATAAGTACAGTTCACACTAATACGGCATGAGGTAGCCATGACTAGTTTTGTACCAAACAGCACCAGAATTAATAAAAAACCACTGCTTTGCACATTTAGAAACGTAAGCTTAAAAAAAAAATGATACTAGGAAGAGCAGTGTGCAGGTTTCTCTTTCGTTGAAATGATCGCTTTGTTCCCATGCACCTGCAACAAGATATATCAGATGTGTGAGTGCCTTTTTGAAATTTGAATCACATTTAGAAATGTAAAATGAAGCTGTTGGCAGTGAATGCATTATATTAATTGCTGACCATGTAAAACAAAACAAGAGACTTGGGGCGTTATAGAAATAGCTACCAAAAATACACCCAATAATCAAATTGTCTCCATGGCAATTGTGTGGATCCAACAATAATTAGATTACGTCTGGGAAAAACACATTATGCTGTTGGCTATATGAGCATTAAAAAAACATTATTGGAGGTGGAGGAACATTTGCTGCAGTGTAAATCTACTGAACAGTACACTACTTTTATAGCATTTTCATTCTGGGAGGGAACAATGTCAGAGTGGTGCCCTCTGATTAGTCACGTCTCTCAGAGAGTGCTAATTGGCTTTCCTTATAATTAACTTGTTTTTCACTGAGGCTGCAGCAGGGAACATCTGCTGCTTCAACAGACCTTGAAACGAAGCTAAACCTCTCCCATGCTTCTGACCCAAACATTAACACCTGGAACACCTACTGTACCTGACTGCGAAACTCTTCTTGCAGCAAACCTGACAGCATGCCATGTTACTTGAAGATCGTACAAGGGGTTTCAAGATTCTTGGCCAAGAATGAAATCCCTCACCAGAAGTTTGATATCCTTTTCTTTTTTTTTCTTTCCTCGAAGAAGGATGGCTAAATCTTTACGCCCAGAAATAATTAAGTGACTTCAAATGTGTCTTTCTTTATCCAATGAGGTACAGTTGAAGTCGGAAGTTTACAAACACCTTAGCCAAATACATTTAAACTCAGTTTTTCACAATTCCTGACATTTAATCCTAGTAAAAATGTCCTGTCTTAGGTCAGTTAGGATGACCACTTTATTTCAAGAATGTGAAATGTCAGAATAATAGTAGAGAGAATGATTTATTTCAGCTTTTATTTCTTTCATCACATTCCCAGTGGGTCAGAAGTTTACATACACTCAATTAGTATTTGGTAGCATTGCCTTTACATTTTTTTTTACTTCGGGTAGCCTTCCACAAGCTTCCCACAATAAGTTTTGTGAATTTTGGCCAATTCCTCCTGACAGAGCTGGTGTAACTGACACAGGTTTGTAGGCCTCCTTGCTCGCACACTCTTTTTCAGTTCTGTCCACACATTTCTATAGAATTGAGGTCAGGGCTTTGTGATGGCCACTCCAATACATTGACTTTGTTGTCCTTAAGCCATTTTGCCACAACTTTGTAAGTATGCTTGTGGTCATTGGACCCATTTGCGACCAAGCTTTTACTTCCTCACTGATGTCTTGAGATGCTGTTTCAATATATCCACATAATTTTCCTTCCTCATGATGCCATTTATTTTGTGAAGTGCACCAGGCCCTCCTGCAGCAAAGCACCCCCACAGCATGATGCTGCCACCCCCGTGCTTGCAAGCCCCCCTTTTTCCTCCAAACATAACGATGGTCATTATGGCCAAACAGTTTTATTTCTGTTTCATCAGACCAGAGGACATTTCTCCAAAAAGTATGATCTTTGTCCCCATGTGCAGTTGCAAACCGTAGTCTGGCTTTTTTATGGCGGTTTTGGAGCAGCAGCTTCTTCCTTGCTGAGCGGCCTTTCAGGTTATGTCGATATAGGACTTGTTTTACTGTGGATATAGATATTTTTGTACCTGTTTCCTCCAGCATCTTCACAAGGTCCTTTGCTGTTGTTCTGAGATTGATTTGCACTTTTCGCACAAAAGTACGTTCATCTCTAGAAGACAGAACGCGTTTCCTTCCTGAGTGGTATGATGGCTGCGTGATCCCATGGTGTTTATACTTGTGTACTATTGTTTGTACAGATGAACGTGGTACCTTCAGGCATTTGGAAATTGCTCCCAAGGATGCACCATTTTTTTCTGAGGTCTTGGCTGATTTCTTTTGATTTTCCCATCATGTCAAGCAAAGAGGCACTGAGTTTGAAGGTAGGCCTTGTAATACATCCACAGGTACACCTCCAATTGACTCAAATGATGTCAATTAGCCTGTCAGAAGCTTCAAAAGCCATTACATAATTTTCTGGAATTTTCCAAGCTGTTTAAAGGCACAGTCAACTTAGTGTCTGTAAACTTCTGACCCACTGGAATTGTGATACAGTGAATTATAAGTGAAATAATCTGTCTGTAAACAATTGTTGGAAAAATGACTTGTGTCATGCACAAAGTAGATGTCCTAACCGACTTGCCAAATCTATAGTTTGTTAACTAATGAGTTTTAATGACTCCAACCTAAGTGCATTTAAACTTCCGACTTCAACTGTATCTGCGGGTGGATATGTTGAAGAATTTATGAATGCTCAGCTAGTCATTTGAATTGTTATGGAAAAGTTCAATTGAATCTAATCCTACTGTCTGGAACTGTCAATCTGAGGAATTCATGGGTGAAGTTTACATTAAGTGCATAATTGCTGGCAGACCAAGCCATTCGTCAAGGTGACATTTCCCATTAGTCTCAGCTGTGTGATGCATGTGTTGTGTGTGAGATTTGTATGTGTGAGTTCCCCCATCTTGAGTGGTCTTTTTATGAGCTACACTGATTAGCCTTAAGACTATCACATGGAGAGAACAGGGTAGGGGGTGGGGATACCGGAACACATAGAGACAACATATGAGAGGCAAAGAAACTCATTTTCAGTGACAGGGAGTTTAGCCTGAAAACTATGGGACTTCCTAATATGGATGCCATACACATGAGACTTCCACAGGTCTACGCCCTCAAACACCCTCAAACAAGGATATTTCAACAACCAAATGTTTGCTAGTTTGCTAATGATGGCTTAGTGAGGTTTATGGGATTACCGACGGAACCATACATACATGTGGTGACGGTAGCGGATACGGGCTGGCTGCGGCCCTGGTCCCTGAGAGCTACCAGGTTGACGGTGTACTCCTCCCCTGGCCTTAGGCCTGTCTGGTGGAATGAAGTGATGGTGCTGGGCAGCTGGGCTGTCATCCCTCCATCATTGTCCTGTCAGACAACACAGACAGGCAGAACTCTTTGGCTTCACTTGGACTCCTCTTGTCATATACAGTATAGTATGGTTTCCAAATGGAACCCTATTTCCTATATAGTCCATTACTTTTGACCAGGGTCAATAAGGCTCTGGTAAAAATGTGTGCACTATAAAGGGAACAGGGTGCAATTTGGGACACACTTTCTGGCTTCACTTGGGCTCCTCTCCAGGGCCGGACTACCGCAGTTTCAAATCATATTTACTGCAATTCTACACATTTTGCAACATATGCTATCTGAGAGCCCCCAATTCTCCAGGGGGGCCCCCAACCTACCCCCAAAAAGGTGCCCTGCGTGCCCGTCCGGTAATCTGGCCCTGCTCTTCTCATATACATACACAGGTAAACAATCCCACCTGCTCTTGATGGACATGGTTCCATGTGGGCTACTCCCCCAGACAGATGTTTATGCAGGGGAATGATCTGAATAAAACTCAATCCTCACTGCTCTGACGAGCACCAAGCTATGGCATCTATAAATATGATATTGTGATTGGCTTTATTATAAATTCAGCTTTCGTTGGTTGTTCATTTGGTGGTTAAGCTCCAGGTCTTGTTAAGAGTTCTATGCTAAATGACTTTGTAAAAAGGGTGATATACAAAATATTTGATTGACAGGTTGGTGATTGATTGATTGACAGACAAAAAACGAAACAAAAAAGTTATATTGTCACATACACCGGATAGGTGCGGTGTAATGTGTAGATTTTTCGGTTACTGGCCCAACGGTCAAACAGCTAGGCTACCTGCCGACTGGCTGACTGACTGAAGTGAACCATCCTGATAAGTACATTGGTATGATAATATTGAGTAAAAAACAGTGAATATGTTAATTCCAGGGCCACTTCGTATCAGATAACTGCTGTTGGTGTGGGGTGACTCAGTGGGCGAGCCCTCATCTCTTTGTGCTTTTGGCACTGTGGGCTCTTGTTTGTCCCCAGCCGCCACTTTTATGCTCACATCCATTACGTTATTGTTAATCTTTCCTTTTGGATTAAATCCAGAGGGGTTGAGACTCTGACTTCTAATATGATTTCCCAAGTGACGACGTTGACGTTGAACTCAGACCCCTTATGGGGAAGGAGCTAGCTAGCAGAGTCTCGTAGGCAGCCTCACACCCAATGATGTAGATTAAAGTGCACTGTGACCCAACTACTCCCATGTCGCTTTGTATTCATAGTCTGTCACCTCCAAAAGAGCTTTCCCGAGTTTGTTTCCATGGCATTTATGCTTTTCATCTAAAAGCCCCAGCTTTAAGTCCTTGAGCCCAGCCAAACTTCTATCCTCCTAGCCGGGAACACCTAAAGGAGAAAGCCAATTATAGAGAGAGGGACTGAGGATTAGAGTACCTGGTGTTTATAGAGGGAATTAAAGGGAAAGCTCTCCTAACTTTGAACCTGTGGCTAAAATGGCTATGGGTTTGAAGATGGGTCCTGCTTGCTGATCCACCTAATCGTCAATAAGCCTTGGGCAATCCATCAACTAATTTGGTAGACTTTAAGTTGAAGGGTAAGAAATCAATCCCCTCCACAAATGTTCCACTTTTTCAACCATCCAAGAGTAAAAATTTAACCATGGATGGGCATATCAAAAATGTAATATAATGTTGCAATATAATGTTGTAGTAATATATATAGTAATATAATGTTGGTATTTCAAAAGAAACTCTCCTGAGATGTAACCAGACTGAGTTGAAAATGACAGGTTTTATTGTACAGTTTGTTTGTTGTTGTTGTTGTTGTTGTTGTTGTTGTTGTTGTTCAGCATACTGCTGTGTACAGTACCACTGCTCTTCCCAGAACATCGCCAACCCTGAATGTTTTCATCTCTATGGGGAAGCTGCATATGCATTTTGACTTGTATTATTTTTGTTCTAGAATACATTTTTCTTTCATCAATACTGTAGGCAAGGTAGATGTCAACATTTGTATGGTGTTGATTCATGTTTTATACAAACTTCTGTTTTGTTCAAATTCAAAACAGTTTTTCACAAATCCCTAGGCAGAAATATTATCTGCATGGTAGGGGATTCTAGAGATAGGGTGGCAGGTAGCCTAGTGGTTGAGAGTGTTGGGCCAGTAACCGAAAGGTTGCTGGTTTGATTCCCTGAGCCGAGTAGGTGAAAAATCTGTTGATGTGCCCTTGAGCAAGGCACTTAACCCTAATTGCTACTGTAAGTCACTCTGGATAAGAGCATCTGTTAAATGTAACAAATGTATGTAACAATGTGTCTACACTGTAACAACATTCATTCATTCAAATGTTTAGTGATGTAGCCAGTATTGAATAAACATCTGTCCTCTCTGTTGGTGAAACCTTACCTTGGGAATGAAGCTTATTTCCCAGCCATCAAATGAGTAGTAGAATGGTTGCCACTGCACCTCCACGGACGTCTCTGTGATGGATTTGAAGAGTAAACCGTCTGGATTTGAGAGATCTAGGAGGCAAGGAGAGCTGTATTATAGGCCTCCATCTTCTGTATACTCAATAAATCTCCCTTTTTACAGAGCACTCCATGCATAGGGGCAGGGGGAAGAGGACCTCACCCTGTGGCTAAAGCATGTTTATTTCATAGTGGACGACAGGCCAGGTAGCAGGTGCACATCCATTACTTTTGAACAAACTGTTTAATACAGTAATTGTTTACATGGTCCCTACATAAAATGTTTCTTCATTAGGTCAGCTTTGAGCTATAAACACACAGACACAGTATATCAGTCTAATGAAAACATAAAATAACTATGCAAATAACTAACTATGCAAGCTTCACAATTATATTATAGGTAGAGAGAGACAACCTGGAGGATAATTGCATGAACATACTCCTGTCTATATTTACTTTATCATTTCAAAATTAGTGAAAATCTCAGAACCAGGAGTGTTGCCTGCTGATGAGAATTGTAATTTTGTAGTGAAGGCCCAATCAATCCGTGACAGCTAATTGAACGTTTACTGTATAAACATGTTCTATTCTGGGCCTGAGTGAGAGTTTTGCATATGTCTGAGAAATGTTGACTGGAAACTAAGAGCCTGCAGCAATTTGCAAATCTGGCATTTATACCCAGCAGGTGGCAAGAGTCTAATCACATCCTGTTGGCAAAGATGGGCCTCCTCCTTCCAACAGGATTTTCCTCAAAACTTGTCTGTGAATGTATGTGTATGTGTGAGTTTTTGCGTTGTTGTTGTGGAAAACCTAAGTTCCCAGATTTCAATGGTGAGGATAAGGTGCCTAGAGTATACAGTATAACAATGGTTGATTTGTTTGTAGGTAAAATTTACGTGACATGTTTCAATTCTGGCAAGTAGCGTGTTTTTTTCATAGCATCCATAGTGCAGTCCCTTTTGTGTGTGAAAAGTTTCAAGTGTTCTGACCTTGGCGTGGGCTAATGGGGATCCTAATAAATCAAATCAAATCAAAAATCCCTCCCCTGTCTGTGACGGTACACTCAACCTTCTAAGACCACTTTCCTGTAAAGGAAGAAGTGTGATTAGTAGAAAGTGGATGTCTGTATATTGTAGTATTCACAGGTGACACCTGAAAGGAAACCTAAGCAGAAAAAAGTTGACCTTGTGGAAGAATTAAGCGGAGGTCCACTTGACACGATGAGGCCCAAATAAAATAGTAATAGAAAATGGCTGCCTGTTGTACTCACAGGTTGACACCTGAGCATTGGCAGGAACACTAATGACGTTGTTGAGCACAGCGTAGACGTTGATGTTGTACTCGATGCCAGGCTCCAGGTCTGGGATACTGCAGGTGGTGGTGTTCCCAGGGACCCTGATCTCCAGCTGGACCCCACCTGCGCTGGTGGCCACGTAGGTGACCAGATAGTCTGTCATCAACACCGACCCCTCCCACTCCAGGTCAATGGTATTCTCTGTCACTCCCCGCACACGCAGGTTCAGATCCGGAGCCACTGTAGATGAAATGCCGTTTGCATAGTATGAAATCAAACTTGCTAACTTGCAGTACCATGCATTATATTGCACCTAGCAGGTGAAGACTGACTGACTTATTTTCGCTTAGGTCCCACTTGACCCACATGTACTGTATAAACAACACACTCTGATTTGCACTTGACTTCCAAATGTGTGTTGAAATCACTCAAAGTGACTCAAAATGCAGAGGAAACAAACAGTGCAAGACCTGTTCATTTTAACTTAAAATACCCCAGTGGTGCCACTACCACAACTAAGCTTGTATATGAGAGTGGATTCGTGGAAGGGATTGATATTCATTGGGGAAACTGAGACAGAGCAAGGCCATAAGCCTGAGAGGGTTTGAGTGTAGAATGCAAATGAAACCCTAAATAAACAAGAGTGGATAAGTTTACAGCTCAATCGGAGAGAGTGAGTAACAGATCTTGTCCTGAAGCCAGCTAGTGGTGTGGGACTTTCCTCTGTAGATTGGGCTCAGTGGTGGTGGAGGAGCATTAAGCCCTCCTAGGGGAGCCGTTGAGGGACTCGAGGAAGCATTTGAGTTACTTCCACACGCACACGACAGATGGAGCCGAGCCTGCCTCCTCCTCGAGACTGACCCTGGAGTGAGGAAAAGTCCTGCGGCATTCACTTAGGAAGATTTATCGCATGGACCAGATTCAGTCTTAAGTAAGACACAAAAAAGGGAACCAGTAGCAAAGTGATTGATATGGGGTACAGGGAGTAAGCACTTTAACTAAGCCTTCTAACAGAATGAAGAGAGTCTCCACGTGAAGCCAATGCTTAGATGCTTAGATCAGCAGTTCTTCTGAAGGGCTTTGGGTACATCCCAAATGGCACCCTATTCCCCTTTATAATGCACTTCTTTTGACCAAGTCCCATAGAGTGCTGGTCAAAAGTAGTGCACAATAAAGGGACGCAGTCTTTTTATTTAAAAAAAATTAGCGGGTAGATCAGCTTTAATATTGCAGATAGATTGTGGGTTCTATGAATGTCCAGTACCAGTCAAAGTTTGGACACACCTACTCATTCAAGGGTTTTTCTTTATTTGTACTATTTTCTACATTGTAGAATAATAGTGAAGACATCAAAATTATGAAATAACACATATGGAATAATGTAGTAACCAAAAAAGTGTTAAACAAATCAAAATATATTTTATATTTGAGATTCTTCAAAGTAGCCACCCTTTGCCTTGATGACAGCTTTGCACACTCTTGGCATTCTCTCAACCAGCTTCATGAGGTAGTCAATGCCTTCCTCTGACACCGCATAGTATCTACAGTACCTTGCAAAAGTTTTCAGCCCCCTTGGCGTTTTTCCTATTTTGTTAAATTACAACCTGTCGTTTAAATTGATTTTTATTTGGATTTAATTTAATGGAGATACACAAAATAGTCCAAATCGGTGAAGTGAAAAGAATTTTAAAAAAATAAATGACGGAAAAGTGGTGCGTGCATACAGTTGAAGTCAGAAGTTTACATACACCTTAGCCAAATACATTTAAACTCAGTTTTTCACAATTCCTGACATTTAATCCTAGTAAAGATTCCCTGTCTTAGGTCATTTAGGATCACCACTTTATTTTAAGAATGTGAAATGTCAGAATAATACTAGAGAGAATGATTTATTTCAACCTTTTTTTATTTCATCACGTACCCAGTGGGTCAGAAGTTTACATACACTCAATTAGTATTTGGTAGCATTGCCTTCAAATTGTTTAACTTGGGTCAAACATTTTGGGTAGGCTTCCACAAGCTTCCCACAATAAGTTGGGTGAATTCTGGCCCATTCCTCCTGACAGAGCTGGTGTAACTGAGTCAGGTTTGTAGGCCTCCTTGCTCGCACAAGCTTTTTCAGTTCTGCCCACACATTTTCTATAAGATTGAGGTCAGGGCTTTGTGATGGCCACTCCAATACCTTGACTTTGTAGTCCTTAAGCCATTTTGCCACAACTTTGGAAGTATGCTTGGTTGGGGTCATTCTCCATTTGGAAGACCCATTTGCGACCAAGCTTTAACTTCCTGACTGATGTCTTGAGATGTTGCTTCAATATATCCACATCATTTTCCTTCCTCATGATGCCATCTATTTTGTGAAGTGCACCAGTCTCTCCTGCAGCAAAGCACCTCCAAATCATGATGCTGCCACCCCCGTGCTTCACGGTTGGGATGGTGTTCTTCGGCTTGCAAGCCCCCTTTTTCCTCCAAACATAACGATGGTCATTATGGCTAAATAGTTATATTTTTGTTTCATCAGACCAGAGGACATTTCTCCAAAAAGTACAATCTTTGTCCCCATGTGCAGTTGCTTCTTCCTTGCTGAGCAGCCATTTCAGGTTATGTCGATATAGGACTCGTTTTATTGTGGATATAGATACTTATGTACCTGTTTCCTCCAGCATCTTCACAAGGTCCTTTGCTGTTGTTCTGGTATTGATTTACACTTTTCGCACCAAAGTACGTTCATCTCTAGGAGACAGAACGCGTCTCCTACCTGAGCGGTATGATGGCTGCGTGGTCCCATGGTGTTTACACTTGCGTACTATTGGTTGTACAGAAGAACATGGTACCTTCAGGCGTTTGGAAATTGCTCCCAAGGATGAACCAGACTTGTGGAGGTCTACAATTTGTTTTCTGAGGTTTGTTTTGATTTTCCCATGATGTCAAGCAAAGAGGCACTGAGTTTGAAGGTAGGCCTTGAAACACATCCACAGGTACACCTCCAATTGACTCAAATTATGTAAATTAGCCTATCAGAAGCTTCTAAAGCCATGACATCATTTTCTGAAAATTTCCAAGCTGTTTAAAGGCAAAGTCAACTTTGTGTCTGTAAACCTCTGACCCACTGGAATTGTGATACAGTGAATTATAAGTAAAATAATCTGTCTGTTAACAATTGTTGGAAAAATTACTTTTGTCATGCACCAAGTAGATGTACTAACTGACTTGCCAAAACTATAGTTTGTTAACAAGAAATGTGTCTAGTGGTTGAAAAACTAGTTTTAATGACTCCGACCTAAGTGTATGTAGACTTCCGACTTCAGTCCACCTGTGTGCAATCTAAGTGTCACATGATCTGTCACATGATCTCAGTATATATACTGTTCTGAAAGGCCCCAGAGTCTGCAACAACACTAAGCTAGGGGCACCACCAAGCAAGCGGCACCATGAAGACCAAGGAGCTCTCCAAACAGGTCAGGGACAAAGTTGTGAAGAAGTACAGATCAGGGTTGGGTTATAAAAAAAATATTCGAAACTTTGAACATCCCACGGAGCACCGTTTAATCCATTATTGAAAAATGGAATGAATATGGCACCACAACAAACCTGCCAAGAGAGGGCCGCCCACCAAAACTCACGGACCAGGCAAGGAGGGCATTAATCAGAGAGGCGACAAAGAGACCAAAGATAACCCTGAAGGAGCTGCAAAGCTCCACAGCGGAGATGGGAGTATCTGTCCATAGGACCACTTTAAGCCGTACACTCCACAGAGCTTGGCTTTATGGAAGAATGGCCAGAAAAAAGCCATTGCTTAATGAAAAAAATAAGCAAACACGTTTGGTGTTCACCAAAAGCCATGTGGGAGACTCCCCAAACATATGGAAGAAGGTATTCTGGTCAGATGATACTAAAATTGAGCTTTTTGGCCATCAAGGAAAATGTCTGGCGCAAACCCAACATTATGTTTTTCATCGGCAGGGACTGGGAAACTGGTCAGAATTGAAGGAATGATGGATGGCGCTAAATACAGGGAAATTCTTGAGGGAAACCTTTTTAAGTCTTCCAGAGATTTGAGACTGGGACGGCGGTTCACCTTCCAGCAGGACAATGACCCTAAGCATACTGCTAAAGCAACACTCAAGTGGTTTAAGGGGAAACATTTAAATGTATTGGAATGGCCTAGTCAAACCCCAGACCTCAATCCAATTGAGAATCTGTGGTATGACTTAAAGATTGCTTTACACCAGCAGAACCCATCCAACTTGAAGGAGCTGGAGCAGTTTTGCCTTGAAGAATGGGCAAAAATTCTAGTGGCTAGATGTGCCAAGCTTATAGAGACATACCCCAAGAGACTTGCAGCTGTAATTGCTGCAAAAGGTGGCTCTACAAAGTATTGACTTTGGGGGGAGGTGAATAGTTATGCACGCTCAAGTTTTCCGTTTTTTTGTCTTATTTCTTGTTTGTTTCAAAACAAAAAATATTTGTGTAAATCAAATGATACAAACCCCCAAAAAAATCAATTTTAATTCCAGGTTGTAAGACAACAAAATAGGAAAAATTCCAAGTGGGGGTGAATACTTTCGCAAGCCACTGTAGGTCCTGGATTGCAGGAAGCTTGGCCCCAGTGATGTACTGGGCCGTACACACTACCCTCTGTAGCGCCTTATGGTTGGATGCCGAGCAGTTGCTATACCAGGCGATAATTCAACCGGTCATAATGCTCTCGATGGTGCAGCTGTGTAACTTTTTGAGGATCTGGGGACCCATGCCAAATCTTTTCAGTCTCCTGAGGAGGAAAAGGTGTTGCCGTGCCCTCTTCACGACTGTATTGGTGTGTTTGGACCACGATAGTTTGTTGGTGATGTGGACACCAAGGAACTTGAAACTCTCGACCCACTCCACTACAGCCTCATCGATGAGAATGGGGTTATGTTCGGCCCTCCTTTTCCTGCAGTCCACAATCAGCTCCTTTCTCTTGCTCACATCGAGGGAGAGGTTGTTGTTCTGGCACCACACAGCCAGGTCTCTGACCTCCTCCCTGTAGGATGGCTCATCGTTGTCAGTGATCAGGCCTACCACTGTTGTGTCGTCAGCAAACGTAATGATGGTGTTGGAGTCATGCTTGGCCACGCAGTCGTGGATGAACAAGGAGTACAGCAGAGGACTAAGCACGTACCCCTGAGGGGCCCACATGTTGAGGATCAGCGTGGCAGATGTGTTGTTGCCTACCCTTACCACCTGGGGGCGGCCTATCA